TGGCATGGCGTTGCTTGCCCAAGCAATCCCCTTCTCCCTACACGGGCCGTATTGCTTTCATCTTTAAGGCCCCCATCTTTGACGATGTTGTTGCCTTCGTGTCCGATCCGTCTCCTGTTGTTAGAACCCCCGTGCCTGGGCTCGGGGGAGGGTGGTGGTGATGGTAGTGACAGTAGTGATAGTGATGGTAGCGCGTCACGGGTTGCAGTTCCGGGCTTAAAATTGTTCAAGGTTCCAAATAGTAATCTGGAATCGGGGGAGCAACCATTCGGTGTACAACCTGTGACACAAAATATCAAGAAGCTTGCGGAAGAGGGCCCTAGTGGTCAAGGCTCAAGCGATGCAGCGACCAGTAAGCCTGAGCCAATCAGTGATGCTCTCTATGACTGGTATGATGTGAGACAGACAAAGGAAAGAGATGTAGACCCAGGAGGGAAACCCGAGTGGTGCCGTGAAACTGGCGAGTTGGGATGGATAGTTCCTCCTCCGTTGCACTCGCGTTGTGCTCCTCAGAAAAATCCCCGGAGCCTAACACTTCCTATGGTCTTCATGCCACTAAGTGGCCGGTGGAAGTTGATTTGGAAGAAGCAGTACAAGACCTCTCCTATCACCGATGTTCGATTAGCCAGGAGTTAGAGCTCCACAGTTCTGGAGAAGGCCCTGTCAACGGGTCGGACAGGACCGAGATTGATGAATTTGTTCGGGTTCTAGTGAGCTGCGAGGAGCAAGCGTGCGACTTGTTAAAACATTTGGATGTGTGGGAAACTGGACAGCACGCTGTCAGAAGCATGGCAACCATCCATCTTCTGGAGGAAGATACTGCTCCTACCATACCTCCTAATATAATTTCGTTAGGAGAGTGGAACCCGGATTCAGAAGAGGTAGACAAGGGGCCAAAGATAGCGAGCGTTGAAGTAGTTGAAGGAGACCCAAATGTTCCCCTCCAAACCCGCGCGATTTCCCTGGAAGGGGTAAACGCAAACATCGAAAAGTGGAGATGGTCAATTGAGGTGGAGTACCGCTCCCTCATCCAGGACACGGAGGCAATTGAGCCTCTAAGTGAGGAGGCCTTCCAAAACCTTTGTAAGTCTCACGTAGTGGAGCTTATACCAGGAAAATCGGTAGACACGATCAAGGCCTATAGTGGTCGCCTCAAGACCAGGGGAGTAGGTTGTGGAAATTATCAGCATGGAGAAAAAAGGACCAACACGGACACCTTCTCCGGGGGAATAGATGCCCATAGTTTGCTGCTGTTAATACGCAACGCAGCGCTCCGCCAGTGGAGCGCGGGGACTCTTGATGTTCCCACGGCACTCCCATTCCTTAATGTCGATATTGTCAAGACGAACAAGGAAGTTATTGTAGTGAAGGTTCCTACAGTGTTTAGGATGATCGGTATTAAAGAAAAGTACTGGAGAGTTCATAAGGCTCTCTACAGCCTTGATGTATCCCCAAGGTCTTGGAATCTAAGTAGGAACGGGACTCTACGTAAAGTCGATCGGCTAGTTCCTAAAAAGCCTACTCCGGTACAGTCGGAACTTCCAAAAGGTCCCGACAGTGAGGCCGCAGTATTGATGCTTGTCTAATAGACTTAATAGACAAGCCCATGGCCTCAGAAGCTGTCAGGGAAATCTCTCCAGGGGAATTTGCTGCCTATATCAACAATTTACAACAGCTTGATGGGGGAATTCCAGCAAAGTTTGTTCAAATGGTGGAGGATGCTAATGTCTGGAAAGTAGGTCTTCAAGGTCAAGAAGACACAGTAGTAGGGGCTATAGGTCTCTATGTCGATGACATCTTGATCACAGGGCAAGGCGAGTACGCGGAGCTAACTGCCAGTACGTTAAGCCAACCGTGGAAAACCACGAAGCATCAGTGACTAGACCAGGAAGGCCTGGCTTTCCACGGGTTTGAAATGAGGCAGGAAGGCACCTCCATCATCCTACACCAAGAAAACTTTGTGGCGGAAATGCTGAGTCGCTGTACTGTACGCACGTTGAAGGACACCTCTTAAGTACCAGCCCTGAAGGTTCCCTGGCCGGAAGCACCCGAAGGACCCGAAACGATTAAAAAGCACCTGACAGCTGCTCAAGCCATCGCGCGTGAGTTGCAGCGGCTAGTTGGACGTACCAGGCCGGACCTTCAGTACGCAACGAAAGGTCATGAGCCAGTTGGTTACCACAAACCTTTTAGAAGCTTGCAAGCGGGCTGAAGTAGTTATCAGGCATCTTCAGTGGTCCTCTCAAGTGGGTCTGAAGTATGATACAGCCCCCAACAACTTTGGTAAGCGGGAAGAACTCACATGGATGCGTGACCATTCCATGTTAGAGTCAGTTGGCAAGGCTTCCTTTGCTCCGATTGGCGGTCGAAGTGTAAGAGCAGCCTAAATCTTTTGGGCAGGCAGTTTAGAGTCCTGGTGCGGTGGACGGCAGCCGTTCTCAGCCGCTAGCACAGCGGAGGCTGAGTTGCCTTCACTTACGGAGGCGTTTATGCTGGCCAGGGCGATGGAGCCTCTTATTGCGGCCTTTCATAGGTTCAAAGAAGTGAAGGGAGCCCTTCAAAAAGGACTATATACCGATAACACCGCCACCCTTCGGTCATGTCAAGTGGAGTCAGGTTCCTGGAGGATGAGACATATCCGTCTTCGTGCCACTATAGTGAGAGAAACGTTGGGGAATGATGATTGGAAGGCAGCACATCTACCTGGACTATTCACTTCCGCAGATGCGGCTACTAAGGCAATGGACCGCAGCGGTTGGCGGATCTCGTGCGAGTCGTGGACTTGTACGCGCCCGACATGGACGTGTGTGATGGCCCTCCAAGACCGTCAGTGGCGGCAGTAAAAACACCGTCAGTGGCTACTAAGGTCCTCATTGCCTTGCTGTTGCTGGCACAGGTTCGTCGTGCAAACACAGAACTTGGTGAAGAAGGGCTCTCTCTGCCCTTAGGGTTCAGTAATCTAGGCTCCATAGAGTTGTTAATGGGATTTGTATGCCTTTGCAATTGGGTGGTCTGCGCGTTCAAGGGCTCACTTCGGGATCCCTTCAGGTCTCATAGCAAAAGGGCTGCAAGTTGCATTTTTCGCGCAGCGCTCTGGCTAAGCTGATGCTGGCGGTATTATGCTTGCGTTGGCCAGGTAACGCTGGTCATTATGAAGGTAGTCAACCTATTTCGAGTGACTACGACGACTGGTACCGTGTTCGGTGCATCATCATTCTGGTGTTTGCCTGGGAAGGCTTGAAAACTTGGCTACCTGGTAGTCAGCACCCACGCCTTCCTATCCTGGTACACCTAGGATTAATGCATCTGCCCAAACCAGTTGTGAATCAGCATCAACTGACACCCAAGCAGAGCGCATGGAGGATCCACCGCTCAATGAGCTTCTTCTAACAAGACATCAACAGGCGCAGACCATTCGTGCCTGGCAAGGTGTCATTGGTAAAAAACCATGATCTCCAGGCAGTTAGTAACTGGAGGCCTACAGCAGGCGCAGTAGCAAATGTTTATCTGTGTCCTGGAGGGACAGTGTGGCGTGCAAGTGGAGCGATATAGGTCAGCGCACTGGTGCTGGCCTCGTACTTTGTAGGCCGTGTGCTCACTGCGGGGATGAACAGATCCCAATGCCTCAGATTTTGCATGATATCCTTCATCCGACTGCGTCAAGCGGAGGTTGACAGCAGCAACGTCGGATCACATATCCTGGAGGGATAGTGTGAGTTACCTTTCCACGTGTGGGCGCTCTGCTCAAGTGGCGCAGAGCTGGAGGAGTGCTACTGTACATGTTGCACTGCATGTTGCTAGTGTGCTCTCCTTCTGCAGCCCCTTTTATGGTTTAGGAGGGTCGATAGGTAAGCAGTAAAAGACTCCACCACATCCAACAGTATATCTAGTAACAAGTGCCGTAGAGCACTATCAGTAGAGGATAGTAGTTGCGTACGGCTTTAACTTCTGAAAAGAAACTAGCTGTACCCGAAGTACCCCTTCGTGGTGTGCGTTGTGTAGAAAAAGAGTGCTGTTGCCCGCCATAGCTCTGCGCTGCACAGTCTTCGTCTCAAGCACTTACAATAAGGCTTCGGGACAAAGAATAGGATTACTTGGGCCTCAGCCCGCCATCCCAAACTTTAAAACGCATCGCTTAGAATAGCAGAAAGATTATCTCCACAACCCAAAGGAAATCAGAGCAGCTGTTGACGAAGTCCAGCATGCGCATGCTCATTTCCGGAGTGATATTCAAAAAGAATACTCTTTTGTGTGCCTGATATTGGTAGGCGCAAAAAAACCCAAAGCCATGAATTGGTTCCCTTTTTTTCAGCACGCCCAAACAATCTACAAGTACAGGCTTGCGGCCGAGGATCCCCTTCCATTGCGGGATAGTTCAATTCTAATCAAATGGCCCCGTTGGTGGGCCCGAGGGATATTCCCCTCCCCAAACAACAAGCATGTTTTCAGACGCGCGGATGTTCAACATCTTTGTCCGATGGATACACGTACGGCCCATCCAGAGCCATGAACCATCACTGAATCATTTTTCTTTGGTCGCCTGGACATTGTACCCCCACTATACCCAAAATACCCAATACCCCCTAAACTATACCCGATACCCTCAATTTATACAACATGCCTAATGATATACCCTAGGTTTTAAATATACCCTAGAAGCCCCAACTAATGAGTGCATATTGGGGCATAATAACGTATATGAAAGGTTTGTTATTGGTGTATTAAAGGTATATTAAGGGGTCTATTAAGAGGTATGTTGGGCATATTACGGCCATAATTACCGAGGCTTGTCGTGACCCGTTCCAATCAAAACTGCCTTGGACCCCAGACCCTTGTTCTTAAAAACCCACCTCCCACCGCAGTTGCCAAGCACAGCTTCCAACCCCAACATCACCATACTCGGAACCAGTAACCCTAAACCCCTAAACTCCTTACATCACCCAGGCAAACCCTCTGAAGGCCCAAAGCTTTCTGAGCCCACTAAACCCCAGTCCTTGCGCCTTCCACATTCAAGGCCACAGACAGCGGCGGACCCGACTTGTAATCCCAAAATGTGAAGATCTGGCACTTTGTCTCTGTCACCTGTGTCAACCCGAAAGGCCAAAATATCGCATTACAAGAAAAATGTGGGCCGAAGGTCTAGGGCTCAGGTCCTCTTATAGATCTAGGTGTGTTTCGCACCGGATTGAGGGGTTTGGGAGGTTTTTGGCTATAGAGCTTTAGGGTTTAACGTACAGGCTTCGAAGATTAAGACCGGCATCCCCTAAACTTTAAACCACTACGCCCGAAACCCTCACAGACCGGAACCTCAGCTCTGTAGGATGGCAAGATCCCTGTGAATCTATCAAAAAACGGCTGTTCAACAGTAAGAAAAAGATATTGGTAGCCTTATTCCTGAAGTTAGCACGCTACAGCTATCATATTCAGAAAACAAGATGCTGATTTGGGGAGTACCAAAATCCTCCTTTTATTCAACGCATCTATGGCAGGATAAAACCCTGTAACACAATTTGAAGCCTTCCTCGTCTCAAAGCATCAGGGTATCCTAGCCTCGTAGTAGTGGGTAGGAGTATGCGGTTTACGGCTGTGCCACCTCAGCCCTACCCAACCACCGCAGAGAGCGAAGAAGGACAATCTTACGCAGTAGTGCAGTACTTTGGTGCAGAGAACATGAACAAAACCCAACTGTCAACCCAACTGTCAAATCTTTTCATGGTCTGGTAACGGGCTACTCGCTTAAAAACCGTACAGGAAACCCGGCATCTGGAATCCGCATCCTCTTGAAGTTGTGTGGACGAGAGGCTTCCAAAGAGGTATCCGCTGCTGGCTGCGTCGGACGGGAGCCTAAACTTTTCTTGAAGTCAGGCCCCCCCAAAATGAGCCCAAGACATATAACAACCCCTTTGAAAAGGACCCAAGTGAAGGAACTAGAAGTTTAGGAGGCAGCTCATGCTTTAAGGTTGAGGGACACGGCTTCAATTCGAGTTTAGGTTGTACCGCTTCGGGCTTCAAGGTGTAAAGTATTTTTCTGGCGCCCACTTTCCACCTGCCAGGTTTGCAAGACCTCTACGGTCGGGCGAAAATCACTGAACTCTTCAGGCACATCACTCAGGGCATGAATCAAGCAATGCTTGCTGCGCACGGGGAGAGCCTCCAAAATCTCTACTCTTAGGCCCGTCTTTACAAGGAGACTGGTAACGTGGCCCTGTTGCCACACACAAAGGTGCGCCTGCCCTCTTCACTCTGCAAAAACCCTACCACATCTGATCTCAGCAATAAGCCCCTCACTGTGCTGCTCAAACATCACCCTTCCCGTGCTACAGCCAACTTCACTCTCATCAGGCACAAGAAAGGAGAGCTGCACACGAACTGGTACCCCAGCACGGAGCTCCGAGACCAGCATCGTTCCACGCGGTTTGCCATCATCCATCGTAACCCTTGCCGCCAAGTGCCTTTTGCCAAAGGGTCCACTGCCCGGCTCGCCGAGTTCTGACGCTATGGCCGCCCATCCATCATACGCCCTTGTAGCGCTGCTTTGGATTAGCACTGTGCTGTCAGCCGATGGAGAAGCAGCCTGGGCACCACTGTCCGTGTCACGACATTTGGCCTCATCGGCCCTCTCGTCTTCTTCGATTTCCGCCATTTGGAGTGCTTCCCAACGTGCTTGAGCGTATTCATCCTCTTCCTTCTCTATGCGTTCATATTCTTCCCCTCGCTTGGTCTGCTTGCTCTCCCTGGTGTTCCTCCAACTCCCCCTGGATTTCCAATTCCTCCTCAGCTGGGTCTACGTCCCAGTCCTTTTGGGAGTCCAGCGTGCCATTCACCCTGATACATTCCCTTGACGGAACTTGTTGGATTCTTTGGCCCGCGTGGCAGGCATCAGCAAGTTCCACCACGTGCGAGCCCATTCTTTATCCTCACTTTCCACCCGAACGTGCTGCTGATCCAGGCAAGGTGTAGGATTTAGGATGAAAGGTTCTTCGAGGTTTAGATTGTCAGTATGTAGGGTCTGGTTCCCAGGTTTAGGGCGTGGGGAACCCAGCTCAGCAAGAGCTTGAAATATTCCCCTCTCAATTCCCCTTGAACCCCTTATACGCAGGACCTTTTACCTTAATACCCTTAAGTGTGGCAAGGCCACGCCACGTTTGATTACTTCAAATGCTTCCCACAAAGGGAAACCAATACAAGGACCCGTATGATCCTGGGAACCCAGATGCAAAGACCTGTACTGAGTTTAGGGCCTAAAGTTTAGATGGGAATCGTTAGAAAGCCAATCTGATTGATTCTTAACAGGGAGTTCGGCAATGGAACACTATTGTCACAACAGCACTTTCTCTGAATCCCTATGTAATCCTCAACATAACCCCCATGATCCATTCTCTTATTACCTGGGTCAAGAAGCCGACCCTCCTCTCTTCCCTATGTACCGCTGGATACCCATGTATACCCGAATGTGCTGATATGCTGCTGCTGCTGCTGCTGCTGCTGCTGCTGCATCTTTGTGGCGGCGTGCGGTGGATAAACATGCCAGGACCAGGATAAATCTGTGACACATACATGAGGGAACCTGAGGAAGACACCCTAAACAAAACCCAGAGAAAAACGGAGAAGAGCTCAACGCCTTCCCCTTCTCAATCGTGCACACCTGGGGACCGTCACATTCTCAGACTCCTAATGACGAGCGAGGCCGAATTCTCAGAATACTGCGCATGCACAGCTAACCTGACACTTGATGCCAGTTGGGGCGCAGCACTGTCGCACGAGGAAGTTGCAATGCATGGTGCATGCTGGTTGTCTTGGCCTTCATCGGGATCGACGTTGATTGCAGAAAGCAACAAGCAACTTGCCTATGACGATACTCAGAACCGACGGCAAAGCCCGGGATCGGTTGCCGCTCCACCTTGCCACCGCAGCAAGACCACGGAACTAAACGATGCTCAGGATACAAAGTTTGCTTGACAAACTTGGAGAGATGATGGACACTGGCGCGGAAGACACCGACGCGTTTCCCAGCCGGAGGTCCATGAATCCAAGCTTCACGCCCCCATACATATGAGGTCTGGACTTCGACCAGAACTGGCCGTCCTGTGAGAATTCCAAAGCCAGCACCAATTCCATCCATGAGGTGTATGAACTTGCCTTCCCTGTAGGCTCAGCGTGCCAGCGGACGAATGACTAAAATTGAAAGAGATTGACCGCGAACAGGCCTGTAGCAGCCCTACAGCCCTAAACATAGCAGAGACTTTTAATGGTAAACATCTCACGACTTACATCGGGAACTGCGCACACATCGCCTCCTGTTAACACTGTGAGCTCGAAAGGCGAAGGAACATCACCAGGTGTCTAGTTTGAAGCCTATGCTGTCTGCTTTGAGGGAGGAGCGTTGAGGTAAGCGTGTCTGGCAAGAGCAATGTAAGTCCACATGACCGGAATGTTGTGGTTACGTAAAGCCCTAAACTACACAGGTTGAGAAAAGGAGTGAGCATTTGCTCCCTCGGCTGCTGCATCAGCATAATCATTAAACACAGTATCGATTTCAGCTTGTAACATCGCGACCGTTGGATGTAACCTCGCGGACAAGACAGTTCAGTTGAGGTAGCCGGTTTGGCTAACCGGAACGAGAAGCTCCTGAAGCAAGTGATGTCACAGGTCTGGCAGGGTGCCTGAGGCAAGAAGGCGACGCAAAGCCAGAAGCCGTCGCGCATACATTTCTTGGAGAGGGTATATACCCCACACAACAAGTTAAAACAAAAAAACAATACTTCGAGCATCCCCACCCTAAAGCCATTATTGCA